ACTTAGTGCTCTTGTGATGAGTAATGTCATGCATGAGATGGGCTAGGCTGGCGATGGAAGCTGGCCTTCCCCATCTCTTAGTGATTCCCTTATCTTCACTCCTTAGCACATACAACCCCAGGTGTTGCTGATGTTATGATACACTCTTCAGGATGGCCCCACCAGTTGAAACTGCTCACCCTTTTCTCTCAGATGAGGAGACAAAAGGTCACAGAGGTCAGGTGACTTTCCCAAGGGCATGTTGAAGGTGAAACTGGAATCCAAGCATGGTTTCTACATCCCTCCATTTTTTTCAAATTAAATTCTTTTTTATTTGAATTAGAAACAAGATTGTTTTACATGTCAATCCCAATTCCCACTCCCTCCCCTCCTCCCTTACCACCCCCCCAACTAATACCCTAACTATCACATATCAACAAATTAAATTTTTAACACAATCTTTTGCCATCTTAGATTTAGATTTCCCCCACCCCCAACTTACCCCCACCCCATCCACCCACCACTCCCCAGGCAGGGTAGGGCCTCAACGGGGGCTCTGCAAAGTTCACCAAATCTTCCTGTGCTGATCCTGGGCCCTTCCCATGTGTCCAGGGCCAGAGCGTAACTCTTCTCGTTACATCCCTCCATTTTAAACCTTCTTTCAGCATATGTAGCAAGCAATTCTGTTTTTTGTTTTTGTTTTTGTTTTTGTTTTTGTTTTTGTTTTTGTTCTTGAGAGGAGTAGTAGTTTGCCCTGCCAGATCCACTCAGGTTCCCCATAAAATGACAAGATGAATTCAGGAGATTTCCTTCTTGTTTTCGAAGAATGTGGCCTGACTGTCCATGAACACTCCCTGGCCCCATTTTTATCATGACATTTGCACATGAACAGATTTTGAAACTTGTTGCCATATGGTTCCAGACTTTCTTCATTTAGGAAAAATTGCATTTGAAATCTTAAAAAGATTTATCTCGCTCCTGGTGCAGCAGAGAAACATTAAAGACCCGATGTGTTCTAGTATCTTTAAAAACCTTGTTGATTCAAAGCTTACCCAAACCGAGAGCTGGAAGAAACATCTTGTCGGTATCTTAACTGTTTTAGGGCTCCTACCCTCTGCCTTTGGGCTCTTTGGGGCCTCTTTCACAAGAACCTCACAGGGCTGGAGGCATGGCTCAGTGGGTAATTGAGGGTACTTGTTGTATAAGCATAAATACCTGGGTTTTGTCCACAGCACCTACATAAAAAGCCAGGTATGGAGGTGCCCACTCTGTAACCTCATTACCGTGGAGGGCGGGGAAAGGAGGATTGTAGGGGCTTTGGGCTGCCAGCGTAGCTCCATGTTCAGTGAGGGATGTTGTCTTAAGGGAACAAGGCAGAGCATGGCAGAGCAGGGCCCTCAGCATCCTTCTTTGGCTTCTGAATGCCCCCCAACCATTTAAACTAAACAAACAAACTTGATCATGAGTGGTGTCAGCTAAAAGCTCATGTACTACTAATAAAAGAGGGTAAACTTAGAAGGCCCGACCTTCCAACAGGAAGAAGAAAACACTCCTGCAGACTCTGGTGAGGCTTTCCCTAACAGTGGCATTTTAGGAACGCAAGGAGTCAATGGTTGAATAATCCCTGTGAGATTACCACTTGCTTGCTAGTCTCCTGAGAGCAGATGTATATCCTGTGTTGGTAGAAGTCACTTTTCTTTATGGGTTCTGGCAGAGACATAAGAACATTCTCTCAACTCTGCTGTCCCTTGCAGGGCCCCTTAATGACAAGCTCACTGAGCATCCAAATTCCATTTTGGGAGAGTCAGGCTCCTCCCAACCAGTAGACACTGCCCCTCATCACCTGCCTGACAGCCCAGCACATGGAGCCCTGAAAGCCTCTTCCACTGGAGCTCACCCATAAATCAGCCATAACTGAATGTGTCCTAGTGGTGAGCCCCTTAGCACACGACTGTGTCTAGCTGCAAGGGCATCTGGGGAGTGTAGTTTTCAGGCTTCTACTTTGAGAATGTGGCATTAAAATCATGGGATCCTACCAAACAGGAAAAGGTTAAAAAAAAGACATGGTCAACCACACATAACAGATGTCTGTTGGTCTGTCTCTCTCTGTCTCTCTGTGTGTCTGTCTCTGTCTCTCTGTCTCTGTCTCTCTCCCTTTCCACCGCCCCCGCCCCCCCCCAAAAAAATCCCTACTTGGCTTTTGCACTCTCTCATGCTGAAGACCTGTTAGGCTCCAGCCTGAAGTTATGGAAAAGTACAGTGTAGGCGTGGGTGGGGTCACACTAGGACAGCTGTCTATACAGCTGCGTACACAGCAAGGCTACTGTGTCTAACAGGAGATAGTACTGAGAAATCCCCTCAAAGCAGGGTGACCAAGAGGATTCATCTGAATGGGAAGAAAGCAGTGACAGCCTTTAGGTTTGTCAAGTGCTGTAAAGTGGATAGCTCTGGGTAATCCGTCAGTCTTCACTTGGATTACAGGTTCATAACACTAAATAGGCTGCTCAGGCAATGCTGTACAACTTGCAAAATGCCCTCCTTCAGTTCGCACTGGGGATGCTCTGCCATCACAGAACATTTTGACAAAGCTGGGA